ACTCAGCGGGGTCGCAGCTGCTTCTGGAAGGCACCGAGATGTACCTTTTTCGCGCAATGGTCAAAATCAAGGTTTTGTAACGCGAGCTGTGCCACAGTGAAGGATGGCACTAGCCAATAACCAACTCCCGCACACACACAATCGAATAGATCTATTGCCCGACATCGAAATGCTGTATGTTGAGATGCGGAGCGCTGAAGGGTCAGGAGGTTTCAAAAAAGAAAAACACGCACGTAGGCGGTAAACTCAGCTCTCAGGAAGCGCGCTCCCTGTACACGGGGCGCTGCGCTGTCTCACTTGCTCTCACGGGTGCCAAGCGGCGAGCGATCGCAGGGCGCGGGGCGCTGCCCCTCACTCATGCCCGCTCGGCCACCTCCGCCCGGACCTTCTCGAGCTCCGCGTCGCGCGCCGCCACCGTCCCCTTCAGCTCCGCCACCTGGTCGAGCGCGTCGCCGAGCAGCCCCTTGGCCACGCCCAGGTCGCGCAGCTGCTCCACGCCGCCGCTCGCCCGCACCTCGGCGGCGTGGTCGGCCACGTAGCGGCGGCACTGCGCGAGGAGCCGCCCGTCGCCCGTCGTGTGCGCCGCCTCGAGCAGCGGCACGGCGGTCGCCGGCGCGACGCTCTCCTGCAGCGCCTGCGCGCAGAGCAGCTCGAGGCGCGGCACCTGGTACATCTGCGCCAGCTCCCGCAGGTCGAGCGCGCGCTGCGCCCTGCCCTCCTCCTCGCCGAGGTCGAACTTGTCGGAGAGGAGGTAGTCGACGAGGGCGGTGAAGCTGGCGAGGTCGGTGTGGGACACCGTGACCTCGGCGGCGTCGCGCTCCTTCATGCCGATGCCAAACATGGTCCGAAAGACCGGGGACCGGGCGCAGAGCATGTTCTTGCTCACGTGCTCGATGCGCTCCCGGTCGTCGCCGACCAGGAAGGTGACCTTCCCCTCTGGCAGGGAGGCGTCGCCCCGCGTCGTTGCGAGGTCAGCCAGGATGGTCGAAGGCGGAACGACGATCGGGGCAAAGGAGGGAGGCGGAGGAGGCGCCGCCACGCAGACCTGGCAGAGGCGGCCGTACGTACCGACCAACAGCGTGCTGCCGTCCGGGCTGATGGCGACTTCGACTGGGCCTTCGAACTCCGCCGCGTCGCCCACGCCATCAGCGCTGCCCTCTGTGCCACTGCCCGCGATCGTCGTCACCTCTCCCGTCGCCACCTCCACCCGCCGGATCTTGTGGTTGTCATGGTCCGCCACAAACACAGCGCCGCCGTCTGGGCTGATGGCGACTCCGTAGGGGCTGTCAAACTCCGCCGCGTCGCCCACGCCGTCAGCGCTTCCCACGGTGCCGCTGCCCGCGAGAGTGGTCACAGCGCCCGTCGCCACCTCCACCCGCCGGATCTTGTGGTTGTCGACGTCCGCCACAAACAGCACGCCGCCGTCTGGGCTGATGCAGATGCCACCTGGGTAGTAGAACTCCGCCGCGTCGCCCACACCATCCGTGTCGCCTGCCTCGCCGCTGCCCGCGAGCGTCGTCACCGCGCCAGTCGCCACCTCAACCCGCCGGATCTTGTGGTTGCTGGAGTCCTCCACATACAGCGCGCCGCCGTCTGGGCTGATGGAGATGCCACCTGGGTAGCAGAACCGCGCTGCGACGCCCACACCATCCGCGTAGCCACCCTCGCCGCTGCCCGCGAGCGTGGTCACAACGCCAGTCGCCACCTCCACCCGCCGGATCTTGTGGTTGCTGTAGTCCGCCACAAACGCTGCGCTCCCGTTTGGGCTGGCAGCAGCGGTGTAGGGATCGTCACTTGCCGGCAGGGCTGCTACGCGGCGCACGCGCCCGGCCGCCGAGACGTGCAGCAGCGAGTCCTTGGTCGAGACGTACCAGGCGCCTGCGTGGTCGCTCGCGATGCCGACCTCACCGAGCGATAGAGGGCCGTCCTCGCCCTCGAGCGCCAGCGTGGTGACCTGTCCGAGGACGCGCACGCCAAAGATGGGCGCCTCGAAGCCAGCCGCGACCGGCACTGGCTCGTCCCCGTCACCGCCGGACGCCATTGCCCGACAACGCCTGCGGGCGGAGGACGCCATTGCCACGTGACAACGCTGGCTGGATTCGGGACACGGGTTTGTGGGGTAGTCATCCGACATCGAATGCTCTTAGAAATGTGGAGCGCTGTAGAGCTGCTCTCTCATTCACCAGGACCCCAGGAATTGCGACTCGCCGCTTTCCTCCCACGGTGTGATTCTGTGTGAGCTCTGTGTTGTTTTGCCAACAGCATACCTACACACTCATTTATAGAGCGAGGTAGAAGATTTCACAGCCTTGTTATTGAGAAAGAAAATACCTCCCCTGGCGCTGTCGCTGGTCTGTTCACAGAGGACGGGCGGTAAAACTCGAAGACGAGGCGCGAGGGCGGTCTCACCTCTGACTCGCGGTCCAACTTGCAAGCCCCAGTAATTCCCAGCATGTTGAATCGAGGGCGTCAAAAGTCGGCGGGGGCGCCTCCTCCCGGCGGCCCCGCGCCCTGCTGTCATCCTGATTGCTACGTTCAATCTGGCGCCAAACCCGACACCGGCGAGCGTGTAAAGATCACGTGCACGAATCCTGCGTGCACGTTTCTCGGGGCGGGGATGCACGCGGCCTGCTTCGACAAGTGCGAGCAGGCGCTCGTCGGCTCGATGCGCCACAGCGTGCACCTCTGGCTCACCAGACAGGTTAAGGACATGAGCGACGACGAAATCTGCAGTACACTGTGGACGTCCAACTACGACCGCCTTTGTCGTACACAGTGCAAGTGCCAGTGCGGCGCGGGGTTCTTCAAGTGCGTGACACAGAAAAGCGAGAGCTCCGCCGGCGTCGGTCATAAGACCCGCGCCGCGCCCACCGAGGTCGTCCGCTTCCACACGGAGGTTGCGGCGGCGGCAGAGGCGGGCGGCGGCGGCGGCGCGGGCGGCGGCGGGGAGCGGGCGGCGGCGGTGGAGAGCGCGGACGATCGGCGGCGGAACCGCGCGCTCGCGGCGCTGCAGGAGCAGGAGGCCGAGGAGGAGGACGCGCGCAAGGAGGCCCGGCGTCTCAAGGCGGAAGCAAAGGAGCGCGACAAGGCGGAAAAGGCCGAGAAAGGCGCGGGGCCCTGTCCCCCCCCGCCGCGCCCCTCCCGCGCTGCCGTCTCCCCGCGCGCGCGCGCATCTAATTCTCCCCACATGCCCCGCC